TCACAGAAGGTTTTCAGAACTGTGTGCCGGAGGGAGATGAAAATTGCAAAGTGCCTCAGAATTGGCCAACAGCAGATGCAAGGCTGCCTGCAGACTCACAGCTAGCTCTCATGCACCTTTCTGCATTATGCAAGATCCTCCGTTCATGCAAGGACATGCTCCATCTTTCACAGGAACAAATCCCATTCAGTGCATGGGAAGAGCCGTCGGGAGGATGAAGCAGGGTCATGCAGCAAAATCAGGTTGTTGAATGCTGGACTGAAACCTCACTAGCTGCAAAAAAAGCAAAAGCTGCAGACAGTACAGGGCCACCCTCTGCCTCTCTTTTCCAAAATATCCCTTTTTCTGCCTGGGGATTGCATGAGAATGAATTTTGAGGGATACCTGCTTCCCTGAGATGTGAGCAGCCCCGTATTCTGATGAGCAACTCCACTGCTACCACAACATCACAAGCAAGGGCTACAGCACTGACCTGCCCCTTGCTGTAGCTACCTGGTCATGAACTACAGCTCTGACACTTCCAGAAACCTGTTCAGACAGTGTCTCAAACCCCCACCTGATGCAGAGAAGCTGTAAGATGAAGCAAGGAAGAACAAAGAAAAAAAAGTCAGCTGAACATCACCCCAGTCCGTAGCTGAGAACTCTGGGAATACATCCTCACTCCACGCTGCTGCAGGGAGGAGTTCAGCCAAGTCTGTTTTGGAAAGTGGGACACAAGTTTTGAGTACTCTACAGGACAGTCCTCACTTCCAACTCACATCACTGCTCACATCAGACAAGCTTACCTGAATCAGGAGACCACAGCTCTTTGTGCAAACTGAGGCATCATGAAACATTTAAACTTATGGTTTGGGTTTTAAAGAGTTTAAGAAGTGAAATGCTGCTCTAAGGAAGTTTTAAACTTGTTTCCATAGACTTCATGCCATGTTTCCCTGGCTCAAAGCACTCACAGAATAGATCTCAAAAGCACTTTACAACAGCAAAAAAAACCATAAAAGCAGTACCGCTGATGGGTCCAAGAAACTGCAGATAGTGAAAGCAGCCTCATTTTCCCCTAGTAAATACCCAGCACTTCAGCATGCCAGTGACTATTGTGATGACCAGATGGTGGTGGGAGCAGTAACTTGGATGATGTTAATTACACACAAACTCCAAAACAACTGATGTCAAAACTCACTTCGAAAACACACCAGAATGGGCTGCTCAGCATATGGCAGCAACGCTCCAGTAAAACTGCATTTTGTGTCCATTAAACAACTAACAAGCTCCACCAAGGGGTCCAAGGACTAGCAGCCACAGCAGTGGGGCCCCAGATCCTGACTGTTTGATGCTCATCCCTTTAAAATGCCGATGAAAAGGTACAGAGGTGTGGTGGAAGTGGCAGCTCCTGCACCGGGTCCTTTGCAGGGTGAGCACATGCAACACGTGCCACCAGCACGGCTGACTCACCTTTTTCAATGACAAGACCTCAAAGGAAACCTCCCAGGTTATCTGCTGAGCAGCACTGGATGATTCCTAATGAGAGGATGAGCCCTGCTGTGAGAGCCCACTGTGCAAGCACACAGATCTATACTCTGGTACTTTTAAAAACAAACAGTGTGTAGTTTGCAAAATAAACACAGTGAACAGATTGAGAAAAAATTATCCTGGCATCTGCCAGCCACCAAGAGCTTTCCAACAAATGTGTGTTTGCAGAGGTACTGCAGAGGCCAGCTTCACACCAAGAGGTGAGCAGCATCCTTACCTGTGATTTGAAAATAAAGGTAAATTCACTAAGCACCACCCACCCCAGAATGGACCTGGATACAGATAAATACATATTTATGGTTTTCTGAGACACTATGAAGCCCAAACTTACACCATAGGGGCCTATAATCTAAGAAATGTCAGCTCTGAGCAGGAGCTACAGATCACAGTTGAACCCTGCACTGGAAGCTCCTACCTCTCTGCTCCAGTGCTCTCCTTGCCACCTCAGCTCCTCTTCCTCCAACAATTATTTACCTTGAAACACTTAGGTTTGCCCAGAGATGCAAGCTGCACAGATCCAGAGGAAAATGGGACAGGAAAGGACTGTGAAAAGTCAGCCAGCCTTTTCCCCTGCCCCAAAGCAAGCTGAAAATTGCTGAGCTGCTATTGCTCCTGACAAATGCTTGCTCTTAACAGCTACTGCCAGCTCCCCACACATCTGTACAGTGACCCCCTATCCTTATTTTCTTGTTTGTATTTGGCCCTAAAAGAAACTGTCACTCATTCTAGCTACAATTTAAGTCCCACCCACCATATGATTTCAAGCTCAGTTCTTCCACTCCATCCTCACAGGTGCCTTTCCCCACATATTCAAGGTATCAGTCACGCCCCTGCCCACTGCACTTTCCTGTCCTGTACCGTGTCTCAAGTTCCATACTTACAGGTGTACCTTCAGTCTCACCAAACCATTTGTGAACCCCAGCCTGAAGCTTCTCCACCACCAGCAGAACAAACTGCTAGAGCCTTTATGTGAAACAGTGCTCACTAGTTGGCACCACTCTGAAACTGTGCATTTGTTTTCCTCTACCTAAATTTAGTGCCTTGATAAAAAGGATCTTGTCTTTCCCCACCATCTCCTCCCCGCTGCAACCATTTCTGCAAGTTGCCAAGACTATTTTGAATTCTAATGCTATCTTATCTTCCACATCTGTCCAGCTTCCTGTTGACTGCAGATTTAACGTGCATACTACTTTGTTATCCAGGTTGTAATAAAAATGAAAGATAAGTGACCCAGAGCAACTCCCACAGCCCCACCACGCAACACGGCCTTCCGTTCTGACACTGGGTGCAAGGTGGAAGGAAACCACTCCCAGAGCAAGAGCTGCTTTCAGCCTCGCTCAACCCGCTTCCAAACACAATTCAATCTCTGAAACCCACACTTTCCCTTCTTGCAAACCACCTTCTGTGTCTGCCCAACAGCCACCACGTTATCCCATAAGCAAGAGCAAAGGCACCAAACTCATCATCTGTTGTTTTCTTTTAGAGTAGGACTCCAGATCTCGTTGGGGATGCAAAGCTCCATCTGAAGGAAGTTTTAACCAACAGTTCCTTTTGTCACTGTGGAGGATTACACTGGCATCTGCAGACAAGGTGCAGATTCCTTCCAGCAGATTTCCTCATTTGCCAGTGTCACTGCACAGCTGCTCAACCGCTTATTTTCTTGTCACTGACTAATACGAGCCTAAACTAGATAATTACTACTTCCTACTGTCATGAAACTTGTTCTTCAGTATCCAAACCCACTCCTTTTTGTGTGTTTCCATGAAAGGGCTATTTACAGTTTTAACAGCTGGCTTAGCAGGAGACTGAGCCTTGTGCAACCATAACCAAATGTATGTGTACCTTCCCTTGGGAAACCCCTTCCTACCCTAAGGATCTGGGTAGGAATGTGGCTTTGTGTTGACTGAAAACAGCACACCTACTAAAGGGAAGGGTAGAACCTTACCTTTGAGGCTGGAGAAGTCAATCCACTGAGACCACAGCCAGACCATATTTCACAGCTGGAACAAATATTATCTGGTTCTTTACTCTTGCCTTTGCTTTATCACTATCTTTCGTATCTCAACCCCCTTCTATTCATATCCTCTGAGGTATTTTCTGCTATTACTTCTTGCAGGAGGCTTGCCTTCCTTGGGGGAGGAAGAGCTAAATGGATTGCCACATTAGCTTTCTCATTCCATGCCTTTACACTTTTAACTAGTGCTTTCAAATAGGTAAATTCGCTTTTAAGTGATCCCAGTGGTACTATTGGCCTCTGCTACAATCCTGCATTAAAGCTGATTCAATTTTACTTACCTCTATTGCTCAATTAAGAAGAATACACAATGAGAAAGTAGTTCTGCAACCAGTAATTGCAGTCCAGGAGTGAGCTGGGTTGTTCCATCGCCCACAGTGTCTGACCACCACACTATTGCACATTTCCCATGTACCCGAGAGGGGAACTGGCTGTACCTCACTTGCTGCTTCTTGAGGAAGTGCCAAGAACAGTGATCCTCTGCCACACAAGGTTATTCCAAACAGCTGTATGGATGTGCATGTCGCCATCTGTGTGCTCTGTGCTGCCCCAGAGCAGGTACCTGCGGGGTGAGACACTTAACAGGAGCTTCTGAAATTTTGCTCCAACAGCAACTCCTTTATTAACTCATCTAGAAAAGGCAGAATGATTTTTGTCAACAGTGAGCAGCTTCACTTCTCCCACACAAAATATACATTAACACATCAAGGACCCAACAAGTCTCTGCAGTGCTCTTGCACCTTACCACACACACACACCAGTATCACACATCACTGCCACTCGCAGTTCCATAAGGAGTAGGAGCTATGAGAGTAAGAAGAAATTTTAGAGCATCTTACTGACTACCCTGACTTTTAAAATTTTGTATAGATCTTGAGCCATGAACATGGGTTCAGTAATTAAAGGCTGGCCCGAACCACGGGGCTGGATCCTGTATCACATCTTGCTACAGCCTTTGGTATGTGTCTTAAGAGATTTTCTTCTCATTTTAATCCTACTCCATTAGCTGACTTAAAATACGTTGCTCTATTTTGGTTTTATGGCACAAGTTACAGTAGGAGCTGGCTCACTTTAGCACACTAACATGATGCACTCAAATGCCATAATCTCAGTTTCCCCTTTTTTATCCAATGTAAAACCATGTCGAGATGCATTTCCCCACTGTTGAGGAAATTCCTTATTGCAGCTGAACTAACAAAATAAGTATGTGTTGCAATAGCCTGCAATGAAGGCAGCATCACATTTGAAATTATTCCAGTGTATGTAATCACCGAGACACTTTTGGGATCCAGCACGAGCTGTTCCCCCCCTCTCTCCAGACAAACCTGATGTCACTTTTGTTTCAGACAACCAGAAATCTGCCCTTCCACTCCACCCAATTCTGCACACAAGTATCTCATCACAGAACCTGCCACAGACTACGCATTTTCCACTAGTAAAAGTCATAAGCAGACACAAGTGCAAAGCAAAATGTCATTTTATTTAATTCAAGGACTATTTTCCTTCTAGTATTGCTGAAGGGATCACCTCCTGGGGAATTGATCATTACAAAGTCCCTGTCTAAAAGTTCAAGTGCTCTTGTTGTACATTCTTTTGAACCACAGAAAACATAATGACCAAGTAGGTGGGCAGCTACTTGCAAGTTTTAGCCCACCTAAATTAGCATTGCTTCAGGCTAGAAAACAATTCAAGTAGTAAAATAATGGAAAATGTTAACCTTTAAGGTCACTACCATATTTTGATCAAAAAGTCCTGAATGTATGAAAAAAAACACTTGTACATGTTATGAAGTTGTTTTTTAACCAGACACTGTCAAAGACGGCAGTTAAGTATTTTGGACCAGTTGCCAACCAGATATTTAAGAGTTCTATCTGAAGGTTTATTACCAATTCATTATGCAATTCACTTTTCACATTAAGCTCTTTAACAAAAGCAACATAGACCCGCACCAGAATCACTGTAGACAGATTTAGTTTTATAGAATGCCCTTCTGAAAATTCATTTCAAAATAGAGATGCTTTTTCTCCAGAACTGTAAAAGCCATAAAAATGCAAAATATCTGTTAGGAAATTTTTAATCAAAATTATTCCTTAATGTTCAAAATAACATTTAAACTCCTACTTTTTTATTTCGCTGTCATCCACGTATTGACCAATAGACTAAACAGGTAACAATGGTTCACGTTTTTTCCCCCACCTGAAACATTTCTTCTAACACAGCCCAAGATAGGCAATACAGAGATTCAGGGACATGGATTATGCATGGCAAAGGTAATCCTCTATCACTTTAATTTAGAACAATTCTGATTCTAGCACACAACTCGGAGTTCTCAGTTGTTTTCGATCTGCTCTAGGTCCAGGTCCCCACAGTCTAGAGGAAAGATTCCTTCTTCGGTGCTCTCACAATCACTCGTGTCCTCGTCGCTTTCGCACACTGCGTCTGCTTTCTTATAATCCCTTGTTTTGAAGCCACCTTGGCACGACCCGTGATGCCTGACTTCGTCCAGCTGCTGTTCTTTCATCGGGCTGGAGCCAGGGGTGATGATGTTCATAAGATCATTTGAGTCACATGGCGATGACACAATTGTCTTCATTTGTGTGTCATCATCGTCATCTTCATAGTCAAGGGAGCAAAGACTTTTGGAATTTTTTAAAGTCTGCAATAAAGAAAAAAAAAAACGTAGCAATGAATATATTAACCATGACTGTACAGGAGGAGCAGAATAAATTCCTTAAATTCCTGAATGGTTTGAGAGCACGTACTCAAGAGTGTCTCGTGTTAAAAGTAATCCTGAAAATGAGAGGTATGAAGAAAAAGGAAGAATAGTATTTACTTACTACAGTCTGGTTTGCACAGATATTTTGCCTATGTAGTTTCCCATTTGTGAGAAAAAGAGTGTCTCTTATTTTTTATGCACAAATATCTAAAAACCTAACTTTGGTCAACTACCACGAGGACATGCACACACCCGCCCAGTTCACTGCACTGGGTTTCTGGCAAATCCAGAGCAGAGCATTTGGTAACATCAGCATTTAGGTCAGACAGCTGCACTGCAGCCTGGTCAACAATTAATTTCTCATGCAGACAATGAGCCCTCAGGCGTCACCTCAGCCACAGTCAGCAAAGCAACTGGCACATTTGGGTAAACTCCAAACAGAAGGAACCCAAGCTTCTACTGGGAACATCTTGCTCCAGAGTCAGCTTAGCTTGTCTTTTCAGCTGGGTACCGTCTGAACAAGGAGCTCAGGAATTGGAGCAATTCTGTTTAAGTTTACAGTGTATTAAAAACCAGAGGGGCACTCGCCTTTATTTAGACAAAGGAAAGAAGAAAAGAAACCCCCAGTAAATGCGCTTCCTCTGCCTAAGTCCCTCATGTAACTGTAAGGGATCCTTGACTGGAATCCTGAAGCAGCATTTAAGAACCAAAAGAAATATACAGACAGTATAACTTAGATTTTAACAAGTGAGAAACTTCTAAATTCTGCCTCATACAATCACACAGTGAGAGGAAGGGGAAATAGCCAGGGGTCCTCTGAGGTGGTGTGAGACAGGAGGATAACATTATACTAATTTTCAGTGTCTTACTGGTTAAGTGACTCCAGTCTCACACACAGCACTCATTTTATTACAAGTAGATCCGCAGGGAAAAAGGCCGACTTTCACACCCATTTCCAGCTTCCTCTCCCAATCTGTCATTTCTTAAGTATTTTATATTTGTTTATTTGAAATAGGAACATTGCAACATTCCTAGTGTGCTGTATTCCAGATGCTCTTCCAGAGCACTGGGTAATGTTCCTGCTTCACCATAACACATCAGCACCCACTTAAGCGTCTCACCAGTATCTCTGGGTACTTTTTAGACAAAATTCAACAAATTCAGAAGATGAATTAGCCTTACCTGTATACAACTGCATAAAAGAGAAAACTCCACTATGGTGAAGTTTTGGTATCATATACATTCCTGTTTTCAAAACACTTCTATATAGCTCATTTATAGCTTACTAAAATACAAACATTTAAGAACATTTGAGTTTCTTTCTATGACTAACAGGTATGAATTTCTCTAAAAATATACTGTTTTGCTTTATGAAAGTAAGAAATGTTAAAGGATATTTTAAACCCGAAGTCTATCTCATTGCTTTTAAAAAGAATACATCCTGTTGTGTATCTCCATACAGGGGACAATATTTTCAGTTCTTTAAATCTTACAGTAGGCACTGGGAAAGAAAGGGGCCAAATAAAGAAAAGCTTTGAAAGTTCTGCTTTCAGTGTTTCAAGAAAGGAATTCCCAAGTCCCCCTTCAAAATATCTTTTATTCAATTTACTGCCAGAAATTAATCCAACCACACAGCTGTCTTTCTAGAAGGTTTGTGTACATAAATGGAAAATTGCCTGTTAGCTGTACTGTGCTGAAACCACTTGAATGGGAACTTTTAGCCGGTTTCAACACAACAGCAAGTGCATTCAACTGGTTCTTTGTTCACCCACTTGTCACAACCTCACCAAACTAAAAATAGGTGGATTTATTATCTCGCAGCACAATCCCGCTCCTTTCACAAAGCAAAAGGTAGAAATTGCAATGCATTCAGGGCCTCTGAACTGCAGCTTTCCATGTTACACTGGTACAGTACCACACCTTTCAAGCACAATTGTGCTCAGTGGGGAGCCTGCGAGTACTTGCTCAATGGTCCTCATTTTATAAAGGATGCCGGACTGGCAAGACAAAAGAGTCCACAGTTGGCAATGGATAGAACTCAATCAGCTAAAAGTATTCTTTTGTGTGATGGAAAAAAAAAAGGGAAAAAAAAGAACCTCGGAGTTTTAAAAGAAGTGAGGCGATAAAATGTCTGAATATTAAGAAAAAAACCCCAACTTTGTACCAAAAACAATGGTGGGGAAGGAAATAAAAGAAATCTCTCTAGACCCTTGCCATACAAAGCAAACAAGAAAGGCCCAGAGCAGCCTGAAAGGAAGCTAATGTCTGTGCTCTTTACCAAAGCTTCAGTTCAGAAACCCGTAATACATCAACTTTCCAAATATAAGAAGCAATAAAAAGGTTGTTTTTGTTTTACTAACAAAACTAGAGCATTTGCTACAGTAGTCAAGGGGAAAAAAAATTAAGACATTTACGTGCACAAAAACCTAGTGTGTAATGGGAGCAGCAGTTCTCATGCTTCTCTCCCCCGTGCCCCCATCATGCTCCAAGTCCACCCCTCGGGTCTGAGTGGGGGTGGAAGATACAGCTGCTCTCGGGAGGTGCAGCTGCAGCAGCTGCACACAGTGAGGAGCAGAGGAAGCCTGAAACCAGCAGAAGCCCTGAGCCCATCCCACCGCTCCTCAGCACCAGTTATCACCACAGGATGGGCTGCACCCTCAAGTCACAGGCTTAAGGAAGAGGGGGAGTTCATCAAACTGATTAGGTTCGCTATCTGCCTTGCCTTCTGTCCCATCCTGAGACTTTTGCCTGTGATGGCACAACATAAGATATGTTGCTGTAAGATATACTGGCACACAGGATTGCTTCACTGTTAAGGTCTCTCTGCCAGGAACATGAGAAGATGTGGATGGTGCAATGGTCCTCATGACTGGGAGATCCTGGAATTTCCTGGAGTGCCAGCATCCAATCCAAGAGTAAATCAAAATGGCAGAGCCCAAGTGTGGAGCAACATGCGGCTTTTTTTGTTGCTTCCCTGTACCCAGACAGTCTGAGATGGAGCAAGTTAGAAGGGCTGCACTTCTCCCTTTGAGGGCTTCACGGTCCTTGCTTCACTTCCTTGACTTATGTTTCCTACAGATTAGTCAAGACTGGCTCAAAACCAAATGCCTTCACTGATGGTAACTCGGTTAAGCTTCAGATCAGAAGCACCACAAACAGCACGACGCATTCGCGTCTCAGGCACTAACCTGCCCACAAAGAGCTCACAGTTAAGTCTCAGCAACAATAAAGCCAACCATGGTATAAATTCATTATTTGAGGAGGCTTCATTCAATGAAGCTAAGAGGGACGCTTAAGGGAGGACTCCAACTTATAAGAACTGTCACAAAAGGCTGGTGCAAAGCTACTCACACAGTCGCGTCGAGAACTGCCCTTGAACAAACCATCCCCTGACATCACATCTGACCACAAAGAGATGTGAAGAGTCCCTCCCTGCAAACTCAACTTTCACTTCATGTATCTAATGACTCGCATTAATATCTTTAACTGTGACAACTGAAGTTGGAGATATGCACAGTGTTTAGTGCAAATTATTAGAAATGTCAGCTGGTTATATAGATTAAAAAATATCCCATCGCAGTCCCTGATCCCGGCATGAAGTGAAAAATAGTAATAAAAATGCTGTGTTGATGTAACAAACTATTAATCTTTCTGTAGACTAAATCTCTAGACATTTGACTCTGACTTTTCTGTCTTGAATTGCACTGAGCATTTTGTGAACACTTCAGTATTCCCAGATAACCTTCGCTTTCAAGACACTTGCAATCGAGAAGAAATACTGCTTCATGGGTACAAAGGGGTGCTGACAGGAGGAAAACAATGTAGTATTCTCCATAATGTGATATGCTCGAGGCTTGCTAATGCACTAAAAGTTAAAAACCAAAGGTTAAGTGGGAAAGAATTTCTCCCTGTTCAAATGAGAAATTAAAGGTGTAGGAATACATTAAGTTTTTTTAAATTCAAGTGTCTAAGAAAATACTTCAAGGTCAAAAACCACTGCAGATTTTTAAGCTATGCATTTGAAGTAAACCAAGAGCAAAGTAATTATTTTTCTTGCACTGAGTTTAAACAGTACTGAACAAACCCATTTCTATTTATTTATTGTGTAGAAACACAACCAAATCCCTAGAAAAATCTTAATGGGCAAAATTTAATCTCTGATCAAAATCATTTGGGAACCAAACATGGTGCTCACTTTTTGTCGCTCTGCAGTTATTCCTCGTTTTCCTGGAAATTTGAAATGTACTTCTATACATTAAAACTGCAATGTTATTTCATCATCTATAGCTAGAAAGAAGAAAAAACACAGAATATTTGATATGAATGAGAGCAAACAACCTCTAGCGTTCTGCCACGTAATTAAGACACTGAACTACAATAACCATTCCTTCCCCCAGAGAAAGAATTTCTGCTGCAGTTCCTGTAGTCGAATAAGGTAAATCCTATTTGCAATGCCAAAGACCCAGTTAAAAATCAATACAAGCTGACACACAGCAATATGGCTACAACATGAAATGAAAGTTGTTCAGTGCTTTGTCTCTGCTGTATTGTCAAAGATTATTTTAATTTTTTAGATGTAGGTGCCCAGGAAGGGAAGGAAACTGACATCAACTCATTTCACATCATATGCTAAACAACATCATGATGTAACAGACTTTCATCTCCCACCAGCCAGACTGTTCCAGATTTAAGCATGCAAGTTTTCTGGTGTAGTCTACCATGCAAGTTGATCTATTTATTGGCCTAGATATTTCTGCTTATATTCTAAATTGTGCCACAGTATCCTTACAAGTTTTGTTTATAAGCTGCAAGAACCTTTAATTTAATTTGGCTTTTAATTTAGTGCTATTAGATGACAAAGCACGATGACAATGAAGTAGAAACATTTAAGTGAAATAGTTAAAGTCTGCAAGTGAGAAAAGCAAAATGCAAAAAGACTT